TTTAATTAAACAGTGAGAATGGTCCTAATCTTACTACATTTATGAAGAAAGAAACCAACAAAAGCAAAACCAATGGCTTAAAGCTTTAGCAGAGATGTGACTAAAAAAATGTGATGATACAAGAAGTTCTACTCCAGAAAAAAGTACGTAATTGTGCTGAAAGTATGGTGGTAAAATCCTGGCGAGTCTGCTAAATAAAGTCTCAATTAGGTAAGGCGTAAAGAGGAAGTCCCACACAACTTCTCTGGACCCTAACATCACTTTAAAAACAAGACACTGCATTAATACAGATTCTTCATCCACAGTGTTGGAAAGAGCAGAGAGTCCTTAAGCCAAATCTCCTCCCCTTCCTTTGACTAAAAGCAGCGAAATTTCAAAACTAATTATGTGTAAGCCCTATAACTTAAACATTCTTTTTCTTTTAATCGAAGTTAGAATATCTTTTACACAAATCTCAATCTCCTTATAAATTCCCCAAGTTCTCCAGCTTTATCAGATGCATGGTTAAGTTCTCTGAAACCTGTTTCATGCTAGCAAAAAAAGAAGAATCATTGACATTAATTCAAACCTTATCTACTTTTTTCCGTCACTTCACTATGACAAATAGTCTTCAGAATAAAAGGCACAGTCATATTGATATGGAATTAGCCTACAGAATACTGGACTTTTTCCCCAATAACACTTACTTCTTCGTGCATATTTCCCAAACTCGCATCTTTCTTCAACATCTCATCTACTTCAGCTTCACTTTCCACATCTGAATTGAATACGATGTGTTTATGCTTGCCTGCTGGCTGGCTATCCTACGTAAGAGTGAAACTGTTAAGTCAAACATATCAAATACTTGCTACAGTCATACATAAATATCTAAAAGACATTTCCATGACACGAAAGGAGGAATCTACTATTCCTCTTGCAACTCTAGAGACGTTCCAGGAATAAGGTACACATCATTTTGTATACACTCAAAAGACAACTGGCAATGCAATCAGAAATTCCAGAGTATGATTTTAAAATATCTTAAACCACATCTCTTAGTTCCCCTTTTTCTTTTACTGCATACTATTCAGATAGAAGTTGAGAGCGTAATTACCAGATTTGAAAGAGCTCCTTGAATGAGTTTCTTCTGTAATTCTCTCTCTTTCTGTCTCTCTTCTAGAGCTGCCAGCCTCCTCTGGTTATCCTGCAACTGCTTCTTTTTTGTATTAGGTTCCTTTGAAGCAGTAGCATGAAGACAAAGCTCCTTATTTTCCAGAAGGCTTGTCTTCCCATTCTCACATTTAGTAGCTTCACATTCTGGATTTTTATTGCTTACATCCCTCTTCAATTTTTTTGAAAGCAGTTTTGGGCTTTTCAGTTGTCGTTTAACATGTTTCTGTGACACTGCAGCATTACTATCCATGTCACTGCTCTCATCTTCACTCTGATCAGTACTAGGAACAGCATCTCCGTGCTCTGAATTTTGATCTTGCAACAAACTCGCATCTTTGCTCTTTCCTTGTAAACGTGGCCAGGAAACAGGCTGATCACTCTCATCTGCTAAGGAGGCAGCATCTGACAATTCCCTACGCTGCTCACAATGCATATTTTGTCTCTTTTTACTGCTGACTTCAAGCGAATACAGTGGATGGTTCTTAGACTGCCTTTTAGATGACTCCTCCCCACAATAAGAAATACAAGCTTCAAGACCTAGACTTTCTACAGACCTCTTCTTTAAACCAGTGCTGTCCTTAGTTAACTCTTTTTCACAAAGGGACCCCATTCCTCTGAAGGGCTGATATTTCAAATGCGTATTATTTTGTCCCTTGGAGGTTTCTTCATCAGCATTCTCCTCCCCCGCTAAAATTGCAGCAACTACATCTTCAGGACAGATACATTTTTTTTTAACTGCAGGGTGAAACTTAGTAAGTTTTGTTGTATTTACATTACCCTTAGAATTTTCCTCAACACTGTGCTGACTAGAACTCTGTGTACTGTCTGACTCTTCTACTGGTGTCCCAGTGTTTTCAGTAGCTAATGCTTTTAAGTCATCTAATGTAAGGTCTACGCGATAACAGTTTTGCATCATGGATTCATAATCAGAACTGATTTCAGACTCCCCTTTCTCAGGCTCTGAATAGGAGCTTTCACTATCGCTTGTCTTTGTTGTACTGTTAACTGCGGTACTCTGCAATGCAGGAATTTTAGATTTTTTCATTTTTCCTTTTCTTTCAATATATTCTTCTCTTAAATTCTGAGTCTTCAGTGAGGAGTCATTTACCAAATCACATTTTTTGTTAGGGCAGCAATTTTGGATTTTTTCATTTTTCCTTTTCTTTCAACATATTCTTCTCTTAAATTGTGAGTCTTCAGTGAGAAGTCATTTACCAAATCACATTTTTTGTTAGTTAATATTTCTTTATTTTCCACCTTCACCTGTTTAGAATCTTCTAAAATTGCAGTTTTCCTGCTACTTAGATCTGGAGTTTTGCTTTCAGCAATAATTTCATCTGTATCTGCTGAATCATAACCATTATCGCATTCCACAGTGTCTTTCTCTCTATAACTTCCTTTGATAGCTTTCTTCATGGCATCTGGATTGCTTAAGGACCAGTGACTATTGTATTTTAATTCAAAATTATCCCCAACAATTTCCAACTGGTCACTTTCAGTCTCAACATTTTCAGCTTTCTGTATTTCTACCTCTTTCTTTAGCATTGCTCTGATTTCCTCTTCAGAATCAATGTCACTGTCAGAAACACTCATATTATTTTGAGCTGTAAGTCCAGAAGCATTGCTTTTATCCGATAACAAACCTCTCCCTGATATTTTACTATTAAGACTGCTTGATGGAGGCAATTTAGACTTCTCACTGGATTTGGATTTTGATCTTTGATCTAGCTGTGATGAGCTTGTGTTTTTTGAACGTGACTGGCACCCAGAAGAGCAAACTACTGCTCCATTCAGAGCCTCACTGCCCAGTTGCCTCAGTTTTTTAGGTGGCTTCTTGATAAACCTCTCCCTGATATTTTACTATTAAGACTGCTTGATGGAGGCAATTTAGACTTCTCACTGGATTTGGATTTTGATCTTTGATCTAGCTGTGATGAGCTTGTGTTTTTTGAACGTGACTGGCACCCAGAAGAGCAAACTACTGCTCCATTCAGAGCCTCACTGCCCAGTTGCCTCAGTTTTTTAGGTGGCTTCTTAGTTACAGGGAACTCTCCTTGCTGCTTCTTGTTTATGCTGTCATCTCTCCCTTCCAAGTGCCAAGTAAGCTCGGATATAGGAACTACATGTGTCAAGTCTGGCTCCAGCTTTCTAAGGTTATGGCAGTATTTTGATGGGTCATATTTCACAATGTTAGTCTGAGTTAAGGAATTATAACAACATGATTCTTTCAGCAAGCAGACTTCCAATCTTTACTAACAGGCTAAATTCTGCATGAAAGGACAACAAAGAGTCCTTTTTAACGTTATGACCGTAAGCCTTCAAGCAACTGATTTGCTGTCTAAAAAAATTACTAAAATCACACACTGCAAGATTTACTTAGGGGATTCAGTAAATCAAGTATGACATAGTAGTCAACATTAAGACTGCTAAGCAAATGTTTCCCCATATGATGAAAGAAAGAAGGGAATTGTGCCTATGCCCAACCAATAGGAAAAGGATATTTTATTTTTTTGTTGACTCCTAAGGTGCAGGATAGGCAAGACTCTGCCGAATTTACCAACAACCCATTTCTAAAAGAAAAGAGAAATAATCAGCATTAAACAAAGAAGGAATGGAAGTAACCCTGGAATAAAACAAGGTGTATATACTTTGAGAACAGAAACCCTAATAAAGAACCATCTGTGACTAATTCTTTTTTGTTTACTCTCTTAACTGAGATACATTCATACTGTGCAACTTAGCCAGCTTCCTTCTCAAAAAAAGAACAAACCAAAACCGACCAACCAACAAACCAAATTTCTACAACCTGCAAATAAGAGTGACAATAAAGAACCGAATTTCTTTACAAGTACTATTTTTAATACAAGGCTTCTGGTTTATGAATTAACAGTGGTAACTATACAGCCAGGATCACTATTATTTTGCCCTTTTCCCCTTTCCCACTGAAAAATTACCCCCCATCACCCTCCAAAAACATTCTGTGCTTAGCAAATAATTTTGAAAACTTTGTAGTATATATTATTTTTTGTTGCCTAAATTTGCATGTTCAGTGCTTTTATTCTGTCTTACTTTTGTAAGCACGTGTAGACCCTGATCCCGAATGTGCCGAAGCACAGAGATTAGTTCTCGACAACCCAGCCGTCAAAAATGTCTATGCTGTATAAAAATAAGACACACGTTCCCTTTACATGCTTTTAAGGGTGACACAAAGATATTCCCAACATAAACGAGTAACAAAGCATTTACTAATTTAACACGACAAGAGAGAACAGTATGATCAAGATTATTTCCAATCATTACAAAGAACAACAGGAGCATTCTACATGTCCACACATAAGGTATCTCTTTAGACTACTTTTCACAAGTTGGACCGTCACACTTAATAAGAGTTTATTTACTTAAAGCATAAAGATTTGACATAAATTTAGGTGTAGTAAACTTGTGCCCGATTCTGGTTTTTGTTTCATTTTAATTCTCTATACATCTACCCCACCATACCTTATGGTCTGGCACCTCTGTACCTGGTACTGCTCTCATGTGAAAGTCTACAACTCCAGCCTTTTTCAGTGATTCTAACAGACATGCTTTGTCATTTCTCTGTGGCTTTTCTTTCTGCAGCTTTGCTTCCTCCCTCTCCATGGCGAGCCTGTACCAAAAAGTACATCATATGTGAAAAAAGGTCTGCCTGTGTGCTAAATTACAGCTGGCAGTGACCCTCTCCCACAGGCCAGTAACCATTCACTACTTAAGGAATTAACACATCTGCTACCTTTAAGGGAATAACGATGCAAAACATGTTGTATCTAATATGCATCAACAGTCCACCAATGCCAATAAAAACTAGAAAGGATAAGAGCGTCGCAGAGAGTCGCAGATGAAAGCAGCCATAACGTTAATTGCTAAAGTTACCCTTTTTCTGTTTATCAACAACATACATTTTTAAAATTGATTTTTACCTCTGCAAAAAGCTTTCTTTGGCCAACTCAATTTGCAGTGTCCCCCCTTTCCATTTTGTTTTATTTAAAACTGACATGCCTGTAAAACAAGGAGACGGGAAATGAGTATTTTCTACATTAAAAAAAGACACCTTAGACTTCTGCTAAAGTTACCCTTTTTCTGTTTATCAACAACATACATTTTTAAAATTGATTTTTACCTCTGCAAAAAGCTTTCTTTGGCCAACTCAATTTGCAGTGTCCCCCCTTTCCATTTTGTTTTATTTAAAACTGACATGCCTGTAAAACAAGGAGACGGGAAATGAGTATTTTCTACATTAAAAAAAGACACCTTAGACTTCACTATGCCTCCTTCTTTGATAGTTTGAAGTTTCTTTAGCATGATCTTATACTCCATTACTCACCTGATTTAAGTTTGTATATGAAAGGTCCAATGCCCTAATCTTACGCAAGAAGGTCTACATCCAAAATTAAAGTTCGGACTTCATGAGAGTCATTCAAGTCTGTATGGTTCAGTTCAAATACAAACCTGAGAATTCAGATACACGTACCCTGAAGTTTCTATACTACTGTCAGACAGGCTCTTCTCTACTTAAGTTCTTCCGTACTTTGAAAAAAAACAGTTAAAGAGTACTGAAAACCAAAGGGAAAAGTGTTGTACTTAGAACTTCGGGAAGTTAAGTATCAAGGGCTGCGTTAGCTTTGAGTCGCTCTCCAACAGCTTTCCTATTCCTAATGGCAGCATTCCCTAGATAAAAGGGCATATTACCAATCCGTCTCTTCAGGTATAGGTATCTTCACCTGCCATTTTGCTGCTACATATTACACAGGTGGTTTTATAACCCTGCCAGTAGTTTCGTAATCCAACTACTCTGGGATTTGTAAAATTGTTTTAACAGAAGCATGCTTTATGTAAACTCTCCTTCTGGGTTTCCTCTCACGTCAAGTCACTTCTAATGTTTTATGGACCTGATGAAAGCGTTTGAAGCACATTTCCTACACCTTTTCGTAAAAGGGTTAGAACAAATTCCTAAATCACCTATTTCAGTCACAAGGAATCTTTTTAATCTGCTTACATCTACTTACTGAAAACTCCAGTAAAGCGACTTCCATAAAATTGCAGCTTAAAGAAAATGGAATGAATATGACAACAGAATGAAACAGGGTCTACCTTGACCACATCCTGATTTGACATTACGTGCATTATCAGTAATGCAACTTGGCTCAAAAACATAAATTACTTTAAAAAAAAAGTACTTACACTTTCTAAGATCTGCATCAGAAATGCTGACACTGATGTAAGCGAAAGTTTTCATAGGGTTCCCTGCTCAATGATAAACATTCAGTTAATTTCTATATAATATCAGTGTTTCCTTTAAAACTGGAAATTAAGCTATTTCCTGAAAATAACGTGTCTCTGAAGCAAAAATTCCATTTCACACAGCAAACTGAAAAACAATTCACTTTTAAAGGATGATGCAAAACGGTTACCCTGATCGTCTTTTCTGGTAATAATCTCTGCATCCAAAACATGCCCAAACTTGCCAAATCTTTCTTGCAGTTCAGCCTTAGAAACCGTATGGCCAAGCCCTCCAACATACAAGCGTTGTGAAATTTGTTTCTTCTCCATGTTGAAAAGTCAAGCTGTCACACCTGTAACGCACACTCTCTTCTTCTGCAAGAAGATAACAACAGATCGCTAACACTTACATCGCAGGCGTTAACGCAATCATAATACCAAATTATGGAACAAATCGTTCCACCAGAAGACCTCCACAAAGAACCTTTTGAGAAGAGCGCTCCCTTGCTTCGCACTAGGTTACACGCTCTGCTCCGGTCCAGTGCCAGTAAACACCGCATTGCTACAAGTAACCAGGATTTAGGTGTTGGGGTTGGTTTTTTGTTTTAAAACCGTGAAGCATATGACTGGGTGCACGACGAGGAGGTTAAACAGCTCTTAGCAATATAACCTTTCTACGCGAGGCGGGGGGGAGAACGCGAGCGAAGCGGGGGAGCCACCCACAGCCCCAACTCCCGCCCCCCAGGAGAGGCCGAGAGCCCCCGGGAACCGCCATCCGCGAAGGGACGCTACTGCTCTCCCTCACCACCGCCATGTGCGATCCTCGTAGCGCCACTCAATTTATCTTCCCCCTCGCATCCCTTCCTAGCGCCCACTCGGAGAAAAAGTGTTCCGTCTCCTGGGGCCGTTGGATTCCGATCGTCTCCTCATCTCTTTCGGGTTCCTGTTTCCGGCCGGTCAAGTGTGATGGGAACTGGGAACACACGGGGTGGGTCTTGTGACCGCGGACGGTTTGGGCGTAACTAACCAGGAAGAAAGGTGGGGGGATTTTCCGCAAGGCATAAGCAAAAAAAAAAAAGGAAATCGCTAACTAAATAACGCTTTTGCCATCCATCTCGAACAATGATCTCAGCAACCGCCCTTCAAGCGGCTCTGTTGTTTCGCGAAAGGGGAATGAAGGCGCGGCCGGCGCCCCCTGCTCAGGCAGCAGCTGTGGTAGCGCCCAGGCCCGCAGCAGGCTGGTTGGGCGCGCGGTTCGA